ATTCTAAAATTTTAAAGCATTTAAAAAGAAAAATATTAGAATTGCTTCAACAACCAGTGCTGAATCACAGGACAGTATCTGATCCAGCTACTCCAGCAGTGTCAATAAAGATGTCTCCCAAACCTGATAAATACCTTTAATATCAGAGCTAATAACTTGTGGGGGCTTAGGATCACTGAAAGCCTTGAGAAGGAAGAATGTTTAAGTGCCCGTGCCCAAGCTGTGCAAACACAAGCTGTGCCCAAGCTGTGCTGGGTGAGCTGAGTGAGTGGCACAGGGGAGGGTCTGGCTGCACCCTTGGCTGCTGCCAGCATGCTGGCTCTGTGGCTGTGGGCCCGCTGGGGTTGGAGATTCCAGCCCACTGGCCCCAATGGCTCGTTCTCGTGGAACAAAGCCCATCTCCTCTAACACAGCTTTTTCCCAGGAACTGACCCATATAGAATAAAATAAATAAATCACAAGTGTTTTGTGAAGGGGAAAAAAGAAAGTTCCTGCTGTACATAGCTCGGGGCAGCAGATGTTTTTCCATTAGCTCACTGTTCTGTGCTGCGCTGGCTCCCTTTGCATTTCTTGTTTGTGGCATGTTCATTATAATCTTTCCTTTCCAAGGGTAAACTTTAGCACATTACAGAGACAGCAGGTAGCCCACTCCAGGCTCCCATTATTTTTCTCTAAATGCTCCTTTAAATTAGCCTTAGGGTCTACCTGGTGAGGTTTGCAGGCTGAGCTTAGCAGGCATTTAGCCAAACTTAGATCAAATTACCAGACCTACTTTGCTGTGAGTGGCCATATTTGGTAAAGTATTGGGTTAGTCAAGAAGCTAAATTGTCAGATATGAAGTACTAGTAAAGACAAACAAAGTGGACATTGTAGTTAAAAGTAAAGCTTAAAATAATATAGTAACAGGAGCTGGAATATCAGAACTCTTATTAAAACTGGCTTGCAGCATTCTAAAATGCTCTGTGTAAATAGAGCATATGGTTATTACTGCCTGGAAATATAACCACACATACGTCAGATAAGAAATCACTCCTGTTACCCAAAGAGCTCTGAACTATTAACACTATTTCTTTTCAATACTGACATGCTTTGCTCTCTGGGTCAAATGTGATCTTATAAAAACGTCGAATGAAGGTAAATTTTGGTCATAAATTGGAACGATTTCAAGTATATTTTCCTTAGTCAAACAGCATGACTCTATTTTCTAAACAAAAAGGAAGAGTACTGGCAGGATTTTAAAAAGTATTAGCACCAGTAATCTCTAGGATTCCCCTTGCAGCTCTTCCTGCAGCAAGAGGGAGGAGTTAACAAGCTTTACCAATGCCACAGAAGTTCATTCTCTCTTCTCGAAGTTGAATTCAAGCTCTCAGTTATAAAAAGTAGAACAAAGTGGAGAAATGAGCATACTGATTACATAAGGACCACCTCTCCTGGAGCTGCACCACCACAGCATGTGCACTGTAGCACCATTCCTAAGTACTCCCTGAAACGAGCTGTTTCTCAGACTTGGGGCCAAGAATAATGTTTAGGTTTATAAATGTTAAAGTGTTCCGAGATGACTCTTTTAAAGAAGCCATTACATTCAGGAGAACTAGGGGGGGTTATTGTTAAAAAGGACCAGACAAGCTGTGTTAACAATCTTTGCTGCAGAACACTTGAAAACAGGGTATGCCTGCTGCAGGGATGGACACCCTCTCTAGTCCTTGGGGACAGCACACCTCATACTCTTCCAAAGCTAACTATAACTGCCTGCAGGAAAAACAGGAAGATATGGAAGGCCACAAAAGTAATGTTTTAAGTTCCCTGCTGCACATGACTGCACTCACAGTTTTATTGTGATGCATGAAAGAGAAAATGACTTTCTAGAGACTAGAGATCCATCAAGCAGCTCTTTGGTGTTTACAGGAAGTTACAAAAAACTATCTTGTCAAAGATCACTAGGCATTGCTACAGGGAAAGACAAAGTATAGCATCTCTTACAGTGCAGCACATTTGGACTTAGCAGCTGCACATTCAAAGCTGCTGCTTTTTTACCTTTCCTACATAACTGCACTGGTCATAAACCCAGAAAAGTTATAGATAAAACCACTAAGTCTTTGCCCTCTTATGTGCAGTGTAAGTATCTCTATCACAGCACAAAAGAGAACCTATTTGCATAGGGTTCATCACCTCGCCTTCAGCCACTGTTAAAGGAGTGCACATGTTCCCATGAGCTAACTGTGAAACTCATTAGGCAACAAGGGCTCTCCAGCTTGGAGGGACTGAGGATGCTTCTGTACAAGGCTTTGTATTGCAGCTGCAGGTGGAGGATGATACAGTAAGGATTCCCCTATATAACCACCACCAACACTCCCTTTCGTAAGTATATGTGCTGGCTTTGTGGCCTGTCCTGGCTGCTGGAGGGCTGTAAGAACAGCCTCCCATAGCTGTGGGATAGCTGGTTCTGTGTGCCTCTTTCCTATACCAGTGCAGAAAGCTCTACTGGATCAGTTGGTTGCTACTGTTAGTTTTCATGTCCTGAGATATGAAGGGGCATGGGAACTGCAATGGCTCTAATGGAACTCAGACAAGATTGCAACCTGGTGCTCTAAATCCATGCCCTCACACAGAGACGCAGCCAGCTGCGTCCTATGAGTATCTGAAAAGGATGGATGCTTTGTTATAAATTTACTGTAGGATGAGGTTAGGAAATTGTAATAATTCTATCTGAAGATTTATGAGTCATTCTAAAAAGGTCAAAGTGCTAATAACAACAAAAACAACAACACACAAGTTATTTCCCAAAGGCAGATTAACATTTTTTCCCTTTAGAGATAGGACACTGAGGTAAGAAAAAGTTAGGCAAGTTGCCTTGAGATGAGTCATCGATTGAAAAAGGACAAGTGCAAGCTAAACCTGATAAAAATCTACAGCATACTGATGCAGCTCTTCCATGAATATGAAGGGACTCTGTATGCAACCATAAGAATATTACATTAATAGCTTGTTGCTTTCCACAGCTGTTATTTTGGGGTAACCTGTAATGCAAAAGCATGTGACTACCTCAACTGCCATTAGCCATGCATTTCTGTTTATGAAATATCTCTATTCTGGAAGTTATTAACTTCTTACATGTATACTTGTTTCTGCTTTCCCCTCCTTCCAGATGGAAAAGATTCTAGTACTGAAGGTCAGCGATACCCTCTTGGACTATTACACTCGCTAAGCCCAGTGTAAGATCAAGCAACTTCCAAGAAGTTCTCTAATTATTCAGGCGTGACGCCCTTCTCCATAGAGAGTAAAGACTACCCCAAAATACCTGCATCTCCCTTTGTCCCTCAGGATACCAGAATGCAGCAATTTCCACACTACTGTGCAAAGAGAATGGCCAGTACCTCACCAAGAGCTCATTAAGCTGCATTCATAACAATAACTGACTTCAGTAATGAAATTACAAAGCAGTCACACTACGTGTTTTCAAAATATCAATCCTGATTCAAGTCCAGCTAAAAGTAAGCATGAAGCAAAATAAAGACTTAAAAATGACAGCACAGAAAAGTTACAGCCTACAAAAATAAATTCTATCTAAAAGAATTAATTAACACCTTTGAGAAAGGCACTGGATTCACACAGAAAAGCAATCACAGCAATTCACAGCTACGTCACAGCAAGCACTAGGTCTTTATTGCTTTTTGTCTTTTTAGACAGCAGCAAAAATGTAAACTGCCTAGAGCTATACGCAAGCTGATGGACAACAGACACCTGACTTCTCATCACAATAACCTCCATTTATTTTGCTTCCCACCAGCCTTCTCTGCAGCCTTAAATCAGGAGTATAAACTGACTAAAGCAAAAGCTTGCTGGTGATTTTGAAGTCCACAGCACATGACTGAAATTTACAAGCACACAAGTCATTAAAGTGACCATATGTGATAAACTTACAGTATGATGCAGTCCATAAGGTGACTTCTTTTGTTCTTCAATATTAGTCAAATTGGAATAAAAACAATAGTACATATTTGGTTCTAGATCTAAAATTCAGTTGGTAGGATATAGTCCATAAAAAGAGGTACAAAAATCTCTGCTGAGAAGGAAGGTGAGACTGTCAGGTTTTGTGTGAGAACTGTCAATTGCACAGATGAGCTAAAGGAGAATTTGAAAGGTTCTCCTGCATAAAGAATAAGAAATTATCAGCAAGGATCCAGAGGCCCCTACTTTTTTTCTTCATCGCAAATTGTGAGACATCTAATAAGCAAACACAGCACTCAAAGGTAATTTCAGACTCTCAAATGTGGGCCCAGTTATGGAAGAAAAACTGCATCTCATAAGAACAAAATTGCAGGGTCAGAACTTCTATCAGTTCCGAAATGCCAGAATGCAAATGGCAGAATGTGCTGGGCAACTCTGTTCCTCATCAAATGTCCTATATGAAACTCTTCTGGGTAGAGTCTCTTCTCACTGTTCTCTTTTCCCTTTATGTGCTCTACTGTAGCATCTCTGCACTAGTGCCTCAAACTGATAAGCAACCTGCAAGCCCTTAGGAGATTCAAAGAGTCGAGGAGTGAGTGAAGTGGAGGACTTGTTCTTTTTAAAAAATTTTCACTTAAGCCACAGCAAAGAGTGGAAAGTTCCCAGTCTAAATCACATTTAATACATGGTTTTTACCCAGTCTTATTACAGGGAAGCACGTAGGAAAAAGCAAATGAAAATACTGTCCCTATCAACTACCACTTGTTAATGAACTACTCAACCTCTTTTTTTAAAAAGCACATTGTAGTGATGACTGAAGTTTTCTGTGTGTTTTGGAAAAACAGAGGTGAGCTGAAAAATCATACTACTGTAGTTATTTTTTTTGTCAAAATCAAATAAGTGGTATTTCAAAAACCATCTGGGATAGATAGGCAGATTTTCTGCTGGAATAAAGAGATTTTCAACTTATGATTTCAACTACTTGGTTAATACTTATGTCATCTCATTCACCACTGGAGGGAAAAAGTAACCCCAGGTGGTCCAGGACTTACCAGCTTGTAGCCAAATTTGTTCAAGAGTTGTCCACAGTTGCGTAGGTCCCTGCTTCATTGTGCTGCTCTGCACAGTTACTTCAGACATGGCCTGTTCCAGTCTTGATGCAGCAAGGGAAGAGGCTCGTTGTGACCCTATGTAACAAAAAACCAAGAACAATAAGGATATTTCTTTGACTCATTAAGGTAGCAGGTCTGATCCTCCACTCAATACAAAATAACTTTATTGAATTCCAGCATAACCAACTGGAGAACTATGTTTTATAAAAGGTTAATTTACTAAAAAAACCCTACTAAATTACCCAAGGGCTGCAGCTCAAACAAGCAAATTAAGAGACAGACAGTAATTTTATAAAGGTCTGCTTAGAATTCATTAAGGAAACAACCACATTTTGCTCATTTGGGAAGCTGAAGTCTACCATCAAATATTTCCCGCAAATACTTTTTAATAATCCATTTTATAAGCACAGTCACCATACAATTCCAAAATGTGGCCCACTAATGTAAAAACTTAGTACAGCATCACAAGGTAGTTCAGCCTCATTCACGCAGCACACAGGTTTCAAGTGACATCAATATTGTTCTACTGATTTAGAAGCAATGTGGTTTTTCATTTAACCTTGGGGAGCAGAGAGTTCAGAGCTTTGACTACATTAACCTTTAGTATGCACTGTAACATTTACGCAAGAATAAAGTACTTGGCACCCACATCTCTGGGACAAAACATCACATCAAAAGCTACTCCCAGGAGGAGTGCATGGGCGGAGACCATGTTCTCCAGTATAGCAAGTGGGATTATACTGGTGAACTGATCTCTCACAGGGGTACTAAGAGGATGACAGCAAAATAAGAAGCTACAAAATGAGATTTCAGAGTTAACTCTGTAAAGATTTGAGAAATAAATATTTTAATATACATAGATTTAATGTGATTTTAAGGTTGATAAGCTCTTCTCTGGAGAGCTGTTGTGACTGAAACACTTGTGCTGATTAGCATTACTCTTGAATTAATCCTTACAGGCTGACCTCACAGACCACAAGATCATGGAGCTAAAATCTGCTTTCTCTCACCGCAGCCACCCTGAGGGAGCAGCAAAGCCTAGAAACAGGTACTGGGGGAAGCTGAGATGGCTCTGGGCAAGGAAAAGGACAGAAGGGCAAAAAATCCTGTCACAGGGCCTATGCATTAAATGCTCTCTCTCAGAGACACAGCAGCTTTTCCAGCTGGAGTGGGCTGAAGAGGGGGTTGCCAAACCACACCTCCTGACCAGCAGACTGACACATCACCCCTGGCCAGGGTGCTGGCAGGCACAGCAGTGTGGTCCCCCAGCCATGGTCTCCTGGCCATTGCTGCTCTGGATGCTGAACAGGGACCCAGCCTCCTGCCAGGCATGAGGGGAGGCACATTTCTGCCCCGTGCTCCTGTGCCAAGACACCTGTGCACTGCGAGGCAGGACACGGCTGCAGCTTCTACCAAACCCATGGCAAGTGTATCATGGCTTGGGAGAGATCACAAGTGCAACCCCAAGCCCAAAATTGCTCCGGGAAATACTTGTCCCATTATCTCACCGCTAACTAATGTCATTCATTTTAAACAGGAGAACTTCAAAACAGCCCCGAAGTGCAGGACTCTCCCACAGCTCCCTCGGAAAATGCAAATGTGCTCTTCCCAGCTGCATTTCTGAAATTCCTACATATTTTCAAAGACATTCCTGATCTAATGTTCCGAAAGATGACAGTGCAGTAATGTAGCAATTATGGCTTCAGCAGTATGGTAAAAGCCACTCTGCTTTGCAGGGATAATTCATTATATTTAACAGTTTATTTAACAGATCCATCTTCAGCCCGTTCCACTGCATGAGATTCCTCCTCCTGCCCTGCCAGCTTAGTCTTCTCCCTCGTCCCTATCCCCACCTGAGAGAAATTCCACTGAAACTCCCAGAAATTCAAGTCAGACTACAGCTTTTTGACACAGGGAAAACTACCATTTACTCCCAGCCATCCAAAAACACAGACAGCTTCTCTGAAGGCAAGAAAATGGACACATGAACAAGCTAGTGATGTTATTAGGAGTACTTTGAAATTAGGGCAGACCTCCTGCCTTCTAGATTGGCAAACGTGGAAAAAAATTACATGTGCTTTGGGGACTATGCTGTCAGCCTAACCAGATTCTTATATTAGCACTCCTGATAATGGTAGCATGCTTTGAAAGCAACTTTCAGAATTATATTTTTCTGCCAAGACTGCCCTCTTCCAGAGAGGCTTTCTGGAGCTGTGTTTCTTGCAAGCACCCGTATGTAATGCTGGGCTGTTTGCATGGGGTGGGCAGATGGGCTGGTGTTTTATTCACATCCTCACAGAGCTCAGGGAAATCCTCTTTTCCTTGCAAGTCAATCCAAGAAAACTATGTGACTGTAAGGCACCTTTATGCATTTTGGAGAGGTTCACACACTCCTAAGTAGATCCACTTAAGATTGACTAAAGCATCCTTCCCTCACAAAGCAGGCTTTACAGGAATATCACAGTGAGCTAGTTGCACACAAAGGAACAAAAGTTAACTGCTCCTTTTCTCCTCTACATTAGCCCAGTGTAGTTGCCAAGAGGGAAATCTGACATCGAGACTGATCTTGCCCCGTGCAGTGGACATCTGCACAGCCGTAAAAATAAGAACCCAAGTTACTCAGAGATTTACAGCAGAGGCTCTTTGCATTTAACAGCCTTCAGCATTCCGGTCCTTTGATGTTTACTTTCTTTTCCTTCTCTTCCAGCCTACATGAGGAAGCAAACCACACTAGGCAGAGACCATTCCATCTCTTCCCTTCCAGGCCTCAGACACAGATATGCTCCTTGTTCTAGACACATAAACACCAGATGAAAAGGCTCGGTCCATCACAGCCCTTACGGTCACTTCTGCCACTGCTGTTCTTGCCCATCTCTATTGGGCTGCTCATAATTCAGTCCTTTGTCTGACTCTTTAACAGAAGGTTTTAGCCAGCCTGGTCCTTCTGGACTGAAGGGGGCTCAGCCACAGTTCTGAATCTCAGGCAAGCAATATGGTGACCCTGAAGGTAGGCTGATGGCTACTGGAGCCACAAAAGAATATCCCCCTAACACACACCTTCTCCTGAGAGAAGAGGCCAGCGTGTATTGCACTGGCATGACTCTGACCTCAGGGTGGCTGAGGCATATGGAAAAACTTCAAGCAACATTAAAAAAAAATGCATCTGAATGTCTCATTATAAAATATTTCTTCCTAAAGAAATGTAGATCTTTACATGCTAAAAAAACCTCCCCTCAGAACCTGTCTCACAGAACTGTAATGTCATGCCTCAAAATATATGCAAATGTTGGCATAAGAAGATATCATATCAATTTGTTATGTTAGTGCAGTCTCTTTCTCTATTTAACAGCTCCACTAGACAGAATATAAACTTCACATTTTACAATAAAGCCCTTCACACATTTTGGAAATAACTCATAAAAATAACAAAACTGATTTTGTCATGATGAGCTCTGCACATAAGCCATACAAAATCTATCTAAATAATTTAAAAGCACTGTTCTAGGGTGCTATAAGACTGAAAAGACCAAGTTTAATATTTTGCATCTATGAAAAAACTGCTATCAAAACAGAAATGTACCTCAGTAGATTTACTAGGCTTATAAGAAACACAGAATTCCCTAGCCTAAATCACTTCAGGCAAGAGCATTATAAGATGAGACTAAATCAAAAAAAGAATGAAACAGCAAGGCAGCTGACTGATATCAGTAAATTTACTTAGAAACACTGCTTCAGTTAGGAGAAGATGAAGAAAATAAAGGGGAATTAATCTTTCTAGCAGTAAACCTAAAATTCTGGCACAGCAAATAATATCACTGTGGTCTAACTGAGGGAGAGGCCAGCGTCAAACCCGGTCACAGTAACCCCCTGCCCCCCTTCATGATGAGTCCAGAGATCACAGAGTGCCTGTGCATTACAGCAATATTGCTGCATGCTCCCAGGGGATTTCACAATGCAGACCAGTGCCTGTTCCAGAATGATGCAAAAGTATCAGACCTCCTCCCTCTTTCAAAGCAGCCAGCCGCAGCCGCAGCTCTGGGGAAAGCACAAGGGTGAGAGGGGCTAGAGCTGTGCTGTCCAATCTCACCCCCTGCTGTCTTCAAAGAGGCTCCCAACCAGGACAGCAGCCTCAGCTGCCACTCTTCTGCAGATGGAGAACAGCAGCACTCAGAGCCTGCAGAGCAGGGAGCCACAGCCACAGGCTTTTGAAACCAGCCAGTGCCAGCCCTGCACTAAGGTGGGTGGTGTAATTTCAGTACAAGCTCCATCCTTATGTCCATTGTGGGGGCAACCATGTTAGCATGGAAACATGGATTCTCGAAGTGGAGGAGGAATACATTTCTTGGTTAAAACCAAGCTGCATTAAGGCAAATCACTTAAGATGCATAAAAAGCTGGTTTAAAGCTTATATTTTACATTAATTTACTCTTCCTGGCAGGCAGCACCATGGCATACAGCATTTTCTGCTGAACTACAGCTGCTCCATTGCATGCTGGCTGCTAGAACTGGGCTAAGAGAAGGCTGGAATAGATCCCCAACCCATGTGCTTTTTGAGGAGAGCACTATATAAGAGCCCAAACATGCCTGGGCTCTGCTATGACCCTGAAGAAGATGCTGCAGGTCTGCAGGAGAGGACTGAGCAGGAGTCAGGTCTTTGAAGGGTGATACACCAGCACATCAAAATATTACAGGCTCTACTGGTGACAATTTGGTCTCAAAATCTCAAACCATGGTGTAAGTGGGTACTGCCCAAACCTGGCCATACTTTCTACAAGCAATTACAAAGCAAGGCAAGGGATCTCCAAAAGAACATGGGATCCACACCCAGAACACCTTTTACATACTGTTAAGCTCCAAGCTAGAGCTGAAGACACAGGGATAAGTCCAAGCTCAACCTCATAGTGTAGACACCACAAACCACTCAATGCTTTAGCAGTAGAGTAAGAACTGGATGAATAACAAAAGTACTGTAGCAAATATTATTTTTGGGGGTTTAGTACTTTCCTAGTAATTCCTAGTGGCTGATGGATTTTGCAAACTACTCACAGTGTTTTTCAAACTATTTTCATGTATTCACTGAAAATAAGAGTCCATTTTATTGCCCAGCATCAGAGATGATAGGATATAGTTCACAAATCTTCAGAATTATCTTCAAGTGACAACTATCCTAAATGGTTTTGTATTACCAGGAAGTTTTCATGATATATCCACTCTCTTTTCCTGTTTATTTTTAATATGCCAAACAGCAGACACTTATTTAGTGCATCTTCTTCATCCACCTGTGCTGAATTTGGTCTGTTCTCTTCAATTTTGCAAAAGACTCTAAAACACTACCATATAAACAATGAGAAAAAGGGCCTATAAAAAATACAAAGACTCATCTCAGCAAAGGGTAAGAAAAGAGAAATGGAATAAAAAACAATTACTTAAATATGTGTGCATAGAATCAGTAACATAACAATGTCATAAATATAGACCCTAAGGGTTTAACACTACGAACAAGAGAACAGACATGCTAAATAATGTTTTGATGTCTGAATGCTCAAAAACTAACCTTGCAATGCTTTTTAACCATTAGTGGGTGAAAATGGGAATTAAGCACACATTATTTAATAAAAGCCACATACTTAACACATAAGAACTTGTCCTCCATTTCAGCCATATATGCTGAGCATGTGATTTCAGTTGTATGAATTCCAGGTGTTCACGATTAAGACACAGACAAACCCTAATTCCCTACCCCCAAAGCATGTGACTTGGTTATGTGGGGTTTCTTTAAATCAGGCTTTTATATTCTTCTTGTTCAATTTCTGAGTTTGAGGTTCACTTTTTTTTTTTTTGGCAAGTGTTTCTTCTTCATCCACAAGGATAGAAATTTGCTTTCCTAAAAAACCCTCCAAGTTTAGTTTCTCACATATTCATCTGATTTTGAGAATTAGGATTTTAAAGGAAGCACCAAATATCACGAGACTTACAATAAAAATCACAAGTTGGCAGCACTCTCTGAAAGCTTCCTTTCCCCTTCTGCCAAGATTAGCTTTGATGCCTCAGTTATTTCCATCTGACTGTATCTGTTACTGTGAATATGTATTTACCATATAATAAAACATCACAAGGTTTATGCAGAAATCCCAAAGCAAATCACCATCTAACAGGAATTGACACTTTCATTCAGCTTTCCAAAACCAACAAGAGCAGCTGGCTTGATCAGGACATCTAAAAAGGATTAAACGGTGGGGGGAAGGGGGAAGGAGAAAAAAAAGGACTGAATTAGACAGTTCTTGTAAAAGTGTAGTGAACTCCCATCGAATACCTTTCATGCTTGTCTCAGAGAGCTTTGTAATAGAAAGCAGAAACTCATCTCTGTTTTATGCATGGGGAAACCAAGGTACAGGTAAACCACAGTGACTTCTGCAGCAGAGCTGGCCATGGAGACAGATTTGGACCTCCTGACCGCCAGTCAGACATGGATAAGTGCAGCCCCGCCACCCTTGTCAAACAAACTAAAACATTGATCTCTCACAAATGCATGTGTTTAGCACATGAAAACACAGATCTTGCTTCCTCACCAGAATCGGTATCGTGAGCATCTGGGAGAGTGAGATACAGTCCGTTATGCCTTTTGATCACTGGTGTTTCGGTCACACTACTGCATTTCTCAGAGCCACTGTAAAGAAACAAAACTGTGTTGTTACCTGGCCATCTCTCAGTGAAGAACATCTCCTCAAAGCAAGCAATAATCTAGCTGCCACTAGAACTGAAAAATCAGTTGCAAGAAATCAGCTTCTTGAATGTACTAACACCCCCCCCAAACACACACCTGCCAATGGACAGGAAGCTCAGAGACACAATGACCAGCAAGGGCTCCAGGGCACGTGCTGGTATATAGTTCATATGGCTGTTGGAAGTCTTTGCAAAACACAAGGAACATCTTGGTAGCTAGAAGCCAGACCAGAGGAAGAAGCCCTCTTCCAGCAAGGACCACCATCCCTTGGACTTGTCTGTAGAGTAATTTGTTCACAGGTCTCCTATGCTAATCTTTTTGAAACAGACCAATTACCACCTTCCACCTGGGCGCTAATTTCTTCATTTTTTCATTTCAAAGGGCTTATTTTCTCCTCTTTCACCTTTGTTCTGTTCAAAAAGAGGAGGGAGATAAAAAAGCTACCACATAGCACTGCTTTATGAAAGGGGAATATATGAAAGGGGGAATATCTGGTCTGCTCTTCTAGAAGACTTCTGTCCTCACAGGAGAGGCCTTCCAAAGGGAAACTCAAAAAAATAAAAAATCGTGTGCCTTCCTGTGACCACATAATCTGTCATCCCCCAAGGATCAGTGGTGATGATACCTCCTCTCATCATCCATTAAGGGACAAAATATCAAAAGGAAAAGCGACTGCCCTGGCTACTTTTTCTGGCACACTTCCAAGCCTGCAGCTCAGCCTTTGGACAATATTTCTTCCAGAAAACAAGCTGTCAGAGAGTCATGATTACTGTGGATGCCCCCGTCTTTGAGTCTGATCAGTCCTTTGGTAGGGATTGCACAGAATTCCTTTGAATTTGCATTAATCTAGCAGAAGAATTAGCTTGGGACTGCTATTGGGTGTTAAACATGATTATTCTGTTATCACAGAAAAAATAGCAAAAGATAAACCAAATCTTGTCCTTCCCAGCTAACAATCTGTGAAGCCACTGAAAGCTACTTAGTGTCATTCATCATAGTAGAAATCATATTTACAATACCTAATTAACCTTTTACTTGGGCTTTGGGATCAAACATAATGGTTCCTGTTAACAAACCCTGAATTCTTGGGCTTTTGACTGTACCAATCCACATGCCTGAACAGGCCTCCCTGTCTTCCATACTTGTTTCCACATTGACACCTCATTTGAGACTATCATGTGGTGACAGATAGAAAGAGAAATTAAATTCTCTGTCCTGTGCCTCAGTCTTGCCTGCCCAGGATTAACCCAAGTGTAAGTGCCCTGACTGGGAGCTGCTGATGGAACTGTAGGGGCAACTCTGTCCTACTGGTGTATTGTGTATGCAGGAACAAGGCAGCTGCACTTCCATAAATCACTGCCATGAGGTGAGTGCTGCTTCGATGCAGCAGCCATCACCATGGGGTCACTGTTTAGGCACATGCTGAAGCACTGGCTTATACACTGTACTCCTACTCCAAGGACCAGGTGAGGAGATTGGAAAATCCCAGGCTGAAAACCAAATGGAATGCACTGTGCAAAACAGCCACTCCCAACAGCTTTATCTGTTATCCTGGAGAAGGGCTGAAAATTAACTACTCCTTAAAAGCTGCAGTACAAGGCCTTCAGCCAAGAAAGCCTTTCCATGCACCATGGAAGGAATAGTAGTCAGATGATTTGCCTTCTGCATACAGCACTGGAAAGGCTGACAGAAGGACGTTTTGTCACTCTACTGCCCGTATTTCTGAAAGGTAGTTGAGACAATGGACAAAATGGTGACAAAAATGCTGAAGGAAACACTTGATTGTGAGAGACTGCAGAGGCACAAATTTGTCAGAGAGAAGACAAAAGGAGACTTGAGCATGGAATACGAATAGCTGCCTAGGGTAAAATATTGGGCCCTGACCCTGAACAACTCTTCAGTCTGTCAGTCGCAGTGAGACTGCAAAGCCAGGAAACTCAGGCCAGACAAATGCAACTAAATGTAACCAATGCGCCAGTTAATTGTGTAGGCAGTTACCTACTGATTAAAGAGTACTAGGTGTAACAGCTCTCAACTTTTTGTAAATGTGAGGGTTTTTTTTTCCAATAGGCCCTAAAGAATGTCTGAGTCCAAGTCTCACTGATAAGAATTCCCCTTAAGTTCCTTCGCAAGCCCTACCCAGAATACTTTACATATTTGTTAGCTAATAGTGCTGTAATTTGCTTAATATAAGGGCCTTCCTGGGTCACTAAATCCAGTCTAGAACCACATCTAACAAGTTCATTCTTCTTACCTTTCAATTAGTACCTCCCAATAGAAAATACTTTATGATGTATTTTTTGAGAAACTTAAAAAAAAAAAAAAAAAAGACCTTCTGGGAATAGAGGTGAAATATACACAAAGGTTCCTAAAATCAAGAGCAATTTGTTTTGGTCAGGCTTCCATGGCTAAAGCTTATCAAAAGCCCCTAAAGCTATTGCATCTTGGGTTTATAAGTATAACTGCCAAAGCACAGCCTGGGATCCAAATGCAGTCCAAATGGCTGAACTATTTATTTGTCTGTTTTCCGACACACTTTCTACAGTCCCAGGCTTGCAGCCCCCTGCTGCAAGAGTAAATCTTCCTTAGTAATAATTGTTTATCATGGATTTGATCAGCTTCACGAGGACTACTCATATGTATAAGGATTATTTATGTGAGAGGTACGTGATTGAATCCTCAGCTAAAGAGACTAAGGCCTAAGGAAATCAATGATTCCAGTCTGCAAGAGACCATTTCTCTGCTGCTATGCAAATATCTTGATTTTTGTGTTTGGTTCGCTGCTCATTAGTTAAACCAACAAAAATTACTAATAATCCCTCAAGGACAACTTGTATATAGACATACATCATTCTGTACATATATTTCTGCTGTTTATAGGGCTTATGTAAATACATACAGAGATTGAGGAACAAAACAAACTACATCAGCCTGCTGTCATGACTGTTGCCATTAAGCATGCTGTCCTTCTCATCAAACACAACCTCTACAGACATTATTGGTGAAAGATAATTCCAGTCTTGGTGTAATATTCCCAAGACAGTTGTACAGTGATACCTTGACTGGGACAATATCCAAAGGGCGTGGGAAGGAAGAAAACCCCAGTCAATATCTTTCACATTTTCTAAACTTTACCTTTTGGTAGAGCAGCAGATGAAAGGATGGAAACAAACTGGGAAGGAAGCATAGTTTAAATGCAGATTTACTAGGACAAGGGAAGGGAGAAAGATGCTACGTTCTCTACTTCTTTCCTTGCCCAGTTAGTACCAGGCTGTGCAACCAGCATGCAACTACAGCACATGACAGAGTTTGGCGATGTGCCTTTCCTTGGCTTACTCACTTCGGGACTGTCACCCCCACACATTCCTGGTGCCAACTACTGCAGACTGTGAACAATAGCTGATGAATGCTCAGCGCTCCTGAAGAAAAAAAAATCTGCCCTCTATTCTGGACATCCAAATATGGATAGGGATGTTTAGACATTTTTTTTCCTTTCTCCTTTTTTCTTTTTTTTTTTAAAAATAATAGCTATTTAAATCTTGCCTTTTTTTTTAATCATAGCTAGAAATATTACTTATCTTTTAAATAGTAGCATTTATTACTCTTTTTGCAAAATAACTTAAGTGTCTGGAAAATTAAGGAAGATAACTGCATTCTCAATAACAAATCTGAACTTGCTACAGTGGAGAAAGCCTACCTGTGCTGTGCAACATTATATACCATCTGCCACATCTGCAACATACGTCTGCATGTCACCAGAGCCTCTTCAGGTCCTTTATGTATCCATTCCAGTTTTACTTTGGTGAAGAGTAAGCTGCAAGATGAAAAAGAATAACTCCTGTTTTATTGGCATCTCATAAATGTAGAGAATCAGTATCACTCTAGCGAGACCTTAGCAGGCGGCATTTTTACTTCCTTTGTATGTGCAGCAATAAAAGGAAACATCAGAGCACAAAACATTTCATTTGGCTCAACTTTAGATTTCCCACAAGGAGATGAGCGGATTAACAATATTCCTCAGCTGCAGTCAAATTTGCGTCACAAAGCCGGCAGGACAGTGTTAAAAGCAATGCATTGCAAAGCTAACAAGGTGAAACATACACTGAATCTCACTTTATTTTAGACAGTATTGAAAACAGAGCAAAAAGTAACTGCCATAATACATATGCCAGGTTGTTTTCTTAGTCTGGCATCTTCTTATAGTACTGGCTTATATAATAAATTTCAGGCAAAAAACCCAGCACACTTAGTATACACAGATAATTATGTAATGCCTCACAGGAAGGAAATGCTTTTTCTTAACCCCAGCTGGCAATCATTTCATGCCCCTAGGCAAGACAGCTGATAGCCTTGTACATTCTTGTTCTAGGTAGTGTAACTGCTGCTACTATTCTTATACCTAGAGACAACATACTTGCACAGACCACTGGAATTCAGCAGAATTGGGTCACGCAGAGGTTAGAAGACAGATTTGGCAATGACACAACCTACCACTTGCTGCTAGCGTGGCTTTTAACACCATCCTTCACAACACTCATTCTATTTTAACTGCCAAGATGATATGATTTATTTCTTATTTACTAATGCAAACTTATTTCTCGGCTTTAAATGTTTCCAGATAGTCCAGTATCAACACATTTTTAATGCACTCGATATGGCTAGCGATTAGTCCACTGGATGCACATATGTGTACACACATGCCCACAACAACAGCTGAATGTTAAAAATCCTAAAACCAGTTTTGTGAATGTGACCTGCAGGCTCCTGAGGAATCCAAACAACTTCAGAAAGAGACAACAGCAACTGCATATAGGATGTTAGAGAAGACTTTATAGTTGAGTAAGAGATCCTTCACTTGGAATAATTAGAAATCTGCAAACAAGACTCTGTAGTGTGTTATCTACAGCAATGTGCTAATACTGCAATCCCATTTGGCACTAATAAACATCAGGCTGGGGATTTAGGTTTTACTGCTTTTTTTTTTTGGGGGGGGGGACACAGGGACACTGCTATACAGGGATGTCTGTAAGTGAACTGGGCTTGTAAGAACAAAGCTTGTTCCAATGCAATGGAATACAGAATCAGTCAGTTTGCTGCAAGAAACATATATCACACTAGAAATGTGGGAGGTTATGCCCTGGAGTGTACTGCTATTATAAAAGATAGCTTTATGAATGTGAAGTTCCTGAGCAACAATGCAGTTTAGAGGTCAAGAACCCCCAGCATTCATATACGGAAGCACAATCAAGTAGGAGCTGGAAGATGTGGCTATTACTGATCAAGACACAACAATCCTGTTTCTAGTTCTTGCTCTTTAACTCCAGAAGATGACTGAAAATGGGATGAGCTTCAGAAAAAGGTTATGGAAGCGATCTGAGGGCTAGAAAAAAATGTATTTCATCAGAGGCTTAAGAAGATCAGTTTATTTGGTTTAACCAAGAAGCAGCAAAGAAATTATTTTGCTTCAGCCTACGAACACCTACATGGAGAAGCATCTCATTGTGAGTCCTGGATCTAAAAGAAAAGCTATCAGAAAATCTAAGAATTCTTTGGAAGCTGAAACTAGTCAAATGGAAATTTATAAGTAAATGCATTCACATAACTATCAAGGAAAATAATCTTTGCACGTGTGCACAGTAAATTCTGTAGTCATTAAAGCCTTTTCAGCAAGACAGGATAACATCTGGAAAGCAATGGTACTGTACAAATAGGAGCTGTGGGTTTGATGCATAGGCTCGTGAGTAAGTTTCTTTGGGCTGCTCTGTGCAGAGGGGTAAGACTGCATTATCACCTTCCTTCTGGAAATTATGCTATTAAAAATATTTTTCTAGTCCTAGAAACAAGTACATAAAAAAAAATCTATGCTATTTTAATCATAGAGAATAATTTTTTAAACCACTACAAACTTGCAAAATGAAAGATCTTCTGAAACACTGTACAACACTCCTTCCAGCCAGAAGAATGGTGGTTAAGGAGACCGAGGCCCAGAGACCATTCGTCTTACATTCCTGAATAACACCATGCTTTTGCACACAGTAACACACTACTCAATATTAATTATACAGAGGAATCTATTAACAGTCAAACTCCTATACTGGAGGGTTATATTAAGGGTTCTTTCTCCCTTTCACATTAGTAAGGACATAGATGGCTTGTCATCAGTAAGCAATTACAATCACTACACAGTATATTTAAACACTGCAATTAAACATTAAAAAGATGAACCAAGTATTTCATCACTCTACTGTTTACTGCTTACAGTGAATACATGTCAACTACTTTGGATGAAGATGCAATCTTCTATCTCAGTAGAGAGAACAATTACTAAAACAGGAAAAAAAAAAGCAACTCTCAAAAAAACATAATGAAGCCTCAGCACAATCAATACTATCACCAGGCATAAGGCATGGGCAAAGCTGTTAGCTGTTGTGGTAATTCACCTCTGGAATACTGTTATCCATGTTACCATGTAGCAATATAATGAACCAAAACAAAAGGCAAATGGGAAGAATTTAAGTGGCAAAAGGGATCAAACTATACCAATGGCAGCAGTAAACACTGCAATTAAACAAAAGGTGGAAATACAATCAGGATATTAGGCTGCATGTGCTATATGCTGTCAGTCTTTCTCAGTTACTAATAAGCTTTATAACACTGAAACCAGACAAATAAATACAGAGAAAACACTGAAGTGAAGTAGTATCAGTTATCTCAAGCTTGTAATTTTATTACTGAGACAGCACTCTAGCTATACATAAATCTAATGAGAATTGTGTCCTATCAGTGTCTGTGCACAATTTCATGGATATAAATAAAAATTATTTATGCACAAATCTCATTATATTTTCTTAATACCATTGTACATTTGTATGATGCTTGTAGTACTAAGCAGAATAGACTCTCAGAAAGATTCAACATACAAAAATAGCCCCAAGATTATCAATGTAGTTATTGGTAATTCTGTTAACCTTTGAATATGAAAACAAATTTGGGATAAAGCAAGCATATAAATTGCTACTACATAAGCACAGGAAAACTGAGCAAAAAATCCACAAATCAATCTCGTAACGTGTGATTTCAGGGACAGTAACAATGGAAAATAACTAGTACTTATTCTTGATAACAGACTCTAAGCTCCCTATCAGAAGAGGGTTTTTTTACAGGGTATATGGACAGTATGCAAAAGCTTTTATTCCCTGATGTAACGTCAAGCTACTGCCACAAGCAAACACGCACATCCATCACAGTAGCATTAACTCTGGCAAATTAAAATCTGTATAAATTTCCTGAGATCTGAAGCTCTGAAAATTCAAAATTAGGTTTCCCAAGTATCAAAATTTCAATAGTATAAATGACAATATGATGTGAGACCAGAATAATGGAAGGCTACTTCGGTTGATTTCAGAAGGCATTCAACATTTGTCTTCATAAAGACTGATTTCAGCCACCTACCTAGCACTTCCAAGAGTCTTCTAATCCTACATGGCTCAGTGCTGAACCTTTAAATTCTGTAATATTTCGCATGAAGAGGCATTTCCTTCCTATCACCGACAATCTAATTACTGAGGTTTAATAGCTAATGCTTATTTATCAGAAGATTTCATATGTGCATATGGTATACTATAAACGCTTATGAGCACATCTGTGGGAGTCGTAAGTTGCTATGTATAGCAAAACCTAATTGACAACTTTATGGATGCTCTAGGACTCTATTAAGATTTATTAATCAGTTAATTACTGTGACTTTTAAAAGCTGCTTTAAAATGGAATTTTTAGTCTCAAATGTAGCCCTTGAACTACACATTTATACAGCATCACAACAGGATCTCTGTGTCTTATCATCTGACAAGCAATAAATAATGCCAGTACTATAACAAACAATAACACCTTCCACTCATTTCAAGGTTGAGAGACTAAATTAGGACTAATGAGTATTATGTAGTCATTTATCTATATATTTTGCCATTCACTGTCTGCTTATAACCCCTCCAGTTCTTCAGAGCTTGTGAGCAGCTGCTCAAAGATCTACACGTCTTCAAGCTTTACCAGATCAGTGGTGTCATTCCCCAAAGTCCTTCATTATTTACACAGATTGGTCTACCTACACACACAGCTGCTGCGTTATTTTGGATCGAAATGCAAAGGAAACAAACCAAACCACCAAAACCTGTAGCAGTATATCTCAATTCATGAAGACAATTGTGCACATGAGCATGCTGACCTTCAGCAACTAATACGTGTACTTTGTTTCCTTCTTTTATTAAATGACCCGATGCATGTGGCTGTTTATACAGACATTTGCCTGGAGAGAGAAACCAGAATGCTTGTGACAGCTCTGAGAACAGCAAATGCACTTTATCCAGTGACTGATAGGGTGTGGAGCAGCATGGAAGTGCCACTGGACAGCAGCAACCAGCTCACCCTACCACCTCTCTGAACCCCAGGTAAATATTCCTCACCAGCGCCAATAAAAAGCAGGAGACTGCCACAACCTGGATGGGTAGATGGCCCAAGTCTGCTGCCTGAGGAACTGTAAGGCATGGACTCAAACCTCCAACACTTCGATCACTGAACTCCTGAACTGGTTTCTTCTCTTTTATGGTAATGGATGCAGGAGGAGGATACAGGTGGATACAGGACATAAACTGATCTAACAGAAATGGAAAGAGGACATAGCAGACAAGAAGAATTATCGAAGTTTTGGATTGCTTTTGATATATGGAGATAATAAACAGACTTCTCAGCCTAAAAAAGAAGCTGAGAGAAGAGATGACATTTATAAAATCATTAATAGCACAAAGAAGATCAGGAAGG